TGTCAAACCAAATCTCTGTCAGTCTCTATTTACTTCGAAAGGTCAACTCAGCTCTCCCTACTAGCCGACACAGCTAAACCAGTAACAGGGGCCCTTTCCAAACAGCCACAGTTCAGTAGGCAGTACGTACTTCTCAGGAGGGAGTTTCAGTAGACTGAACTTTCGTGGTCATTCAGTGTGCATTTTTTGGGTCTACCTCAGTATACTGAACATTTCAGTATGGATACTAACTTCCGGGTTTCATGCAGTATGGATCGGATGCATCCTTTCAGGAAATGAATTGTATTTTACCCACAATGCTGTGCGAAATTAAACTTAAATCATTACTTCACGTGCACCTCCAAATCAAAACAAACCAGCATGAATTAATTGAGTACATTTTTAATCTAGAGTTAAAGTCCCGACTGAAATCACTACTTTTAATTAATAACTCAAAAATGTAACAAATGTCTGCATTATTATAAAACCTTTCTCCCTCTATTTAAATAATGATTTCACTATTTAGATGTGTCTTTATTGGTTTATTTTACTTTATATTCTGTATATTACTGTCTTTCATTTGTACTTTCCTTTGTGAACTGTATGTTATTTAGTTATTTAATCCGTCTTTTACTTGTGATATATATATATATATATATTTGTGAGATCCTGACCACAGATGTATATTTATCAGACTAAAGAGAGCATGGCATAACGTAGCAGACTCTCTGATCTGTATGGAAAGTCAGCAGCAGATGAACAACAGGTATAGAACTAGATCAGTCACAGTAACAACACATGCACACAGAACAATTCACAAATACATTTTAGGATTTCTATGTTAATGTGTGCTTGAGACCAAAACTGTTTTCTGTAGCTCTGCAGTAAAAAGGGTCATTTTGACATGCAGCCTAATGGGGATTTGTTTTAAGTTTTGGAGCCAGCCTCTAGTGGACACTCAGGGAACTAAAGCTCAGTCAGGACCACTTTGTCAAAACTTTGATTTAATTATTTAGATTTGGCGGTATGGCTCTGTGAGGGATCTCCCTGCCGTTCCACGTGCTTACTTGGAAAGCATTGGGCAGGAACAGCACACATTACTGCCCTTCCTGTGCATACAAGGAAAGCTATAAGGCAGGGAGATAAGCAGCAAACCCCCAAAACAACCATACCAGGCAAACCTCCCTGGCATTCCAAGGACTATGGAAGAGCCAGCAGGAGCAGATGAAGTTAAAGTGAAAGAAAAACATGAGTGTTTGCTAACTACATTCGGGAAAGCCTAAAGAGTTAATGGAACCAATCATATACTGAAACAGTTATTTAAAGCGCACTCAGCTTTTTGAGCATCTAAAATAGCTTGAGACTTGGGGTGGAGATAGCATTTAATGATGACCAACGGCCCATAACTTTGAGAGTCGACACAGGTGCTTTGTATGAAGGGGTTCTACTGGTTCTATACGAATGGAGTGACACACGAGGACAGTTAATGATGAATGGACTTAAGCTTGCAAAGTGCTTTTCTTCACACATTGCTGGCCGAGGCTGCAATGTGAAGTGTCCATCAGTATTAACTAATCCCATTACACACCATTCAAACGCAGCAGCTAGAGCAACTTGGGGTTCAGGGTCTTGCCCAAGGACACTTCAACATGTGCCTGAAGGAATGACTTCCATTTTAAAGGACTTTCGAAGTCCTTTAAAATGGAAACTTTTTTTGACTTATTGTAATTTGTTATGTTTTGCCATTAACAACTTTCTCTCAAACAGAGTTAAAAAAAATACTTAAGATGTTATCCAAGGACGCTTCAACATGTGCCTGAAGTTTGACACCAAGTCAAACTTAACTGTTAAGTTTGACTTGGTGTTTGCCAATCAAGGTAAATGTCTTCCCATCAGGGGGAGGAATTTACCTTGACTTTTACCTTGACCAGACAATTATGGCCTGGCTTTTTAAAATTTTCATTTGAGAAAGACTTGGCCAGTCGCTCTGGTATCTTAGTACCTTGCACAAATTATTTGCTCCTGCTATTCATTAAAATTCTTGACTGGTAAAAAAGATAAACCTCTTTTAAATTTGGCAAAGAAATGAAAACAAATTTGGTAGAGGAAAAAGGGAAAGAGACTTGTTTTAAAGCAGCCATCTTTACTTTAGTCTGGAAACAGAAAAATTTGATTGCATAACAGTCCACGGTGCTCTTTTTGCCCAGAACTAGCCAGATTCCAAATGTGAGCAAATAATTCAAACTTGCCTCACACTCACACACAATCAACAACAGGAAAGCAACAATAATGAGCCAACTCATTTCAAAATAAACACACAGGCAACGACAAGGGAGACAGCAAACTTTTGGCACTTCAGCAACAAGAAGCAGAAATTAATTTTGAACACACTAAAAACATTAATATATAAATAATTTGTAGTACATAATAGTAACATCATACATTTTAAAGTAAATATAAATTCAATTATATTACTATTTTACCAATTGAGCTATCTTAAAATACATTCATATACATCAGTGCAACAACTACATTTACAACATAAATTTGCCAACAACATGCAAGACTGACAAAGTAGTCCATAACTAGCAAGTAAAAGGCACCAGTTTCAAATAGTCACAGATAAGCAGTAAAGTGATCACAGTTATGAATCTGAATAAAAAGTGATGCCTTCAGTTGATCTGTGTGACTTCTCATATGCTAACCCAGACTTCCAGACTTTGACTACTGATTTCCTCGGTAACTTGCCCATTTGAATTGATATCATATTGTATTTTTCCAGGGAATATGGCAAAATGGTCCAATTAGAATATGAAAATTTTCAAACTGGCAACACAAACATGTTCTACCTAATTCCAATAAAAGAGCTTTCAAGTCCAGAAGAAAGCTTTAGTAAACGTTTTCTGAAGTATAAGTGAAGTCATGGTTAGAACTTAGTAGGTGTTTTAAAATGGTTTAGAATTGGATGTTTTGAAC